GCAGAGCAGCCCCTAAAGCTTGGTGACAGTTAGAAGGAGATGGCAGTCAGAGATGACAGCAGCTTGGTGGATAGAGATGCCATTAGTTTATAAAGAGAATATAGGAGACTATGAAGGGAAGATGAGTTCAGTTTTGGACTAGTTAAATTTGAGCAATTTAGGATATGCTGGTGGAGATGTTTTATAAACACATAAAGGAGGCTCTTGATCTAGGGCTAGAGGCATACGTTTGGCCTTTACTGTGAAAGAAGTCACAGTCAGATCTTTGGAAAAGATGTCTTTATTCGGGGAAAGCATACAGAGTAGATAGATGGGGTTCTGGGAAGGCACATAGGGACCAATAAAGAACAAGAAGGAGGTTGACATGGTAACAACCAAGGGAAGAGGAGAGGCAGGAGAATTATTTCAGAAGTAAAGGAGGGAGAGAATTTTAAGCTAGAAGGTGTATAAAGCAACATCAGGTCCTGCAAATAATTGAAGAAGAAAGACTAAAAAGTGGTCATTGGATTTAGCAGTTGGAAGGTCATTGATAAAAGTGTTTCATGCAGATATAAAGGTAGAAAACATTCCTTTGAGTAAATTAGGAAGTGCAGGCAGCAATGTGATGGCTCAGCCAATATTAGTCATCTTTTAAAAAATCTTTAAGAAATCAATGAGAGTGGAAGAGGTGCCCCAACACCAAAAATGGAAAAATGCCTTCTCAATTTTTGACAGCTAATGTAAGCTTAAGCTTTATGGCCTCTCTGAGGGCCTTAGAAGGGGCCCATGCATGTGAAGAGTCATGAAGCTTTATCCTCAAGAGCTTCACAGTAAGTCTAGCTCTATCTAAGAGAATTAGATCCATAACTGCTTGATACAGTAGTTCAAAGGTACATTTCCAAAGGTTGACCTGGGTTCACATCTGGACTCAACCACTTTCTAATTCTAAGACTTTAATTAAGGTTACCTAATCTCTTCGAGCTTTAGTTTTCTTATCTGCAAAGCAGAAATAGTGAAAGTATCTGTCTCATAGAACTGTTGTAAAGATTAACTCAGACATAACCTGCTAGGCATGGTGGTACATGTTTATAGTCCCAGCTACTTGGAAGGCTGAGGCGGGAGGATCACTTCAGCTCAGGAGTTCAAGGCCAGCTTGGGCAATATAGTGAGATCTCATATCTAAAAATAAAAAATTAAATAAAGATGGGGTCTTGCTAAATATGAAAAATAAAATAAATCAGACATGATCTGAAAACCATTAGCACATTGTAAGTATTGAGAAATTGTACCCCAAATGACAATTATCTTATTAGTTATTTTTGTATCATCAACTAACTGCCATACTCAGGTGTGCTGAAGAGAGGATTCTTGTATTGCATTTTACTATACTTCAGTCCTGTTCTAGTTTAAATTTTTATTAATGGTAAAAATACATAAGCATTCTTATCTAATATACATATAATGAGAAAATGCATCGATGGACAGAATCGGAATCCTAGATTAGACAATGGAACAAAGATAGTGAAGAGATAACATTTGTTCTAAAAGATATTGAACTGTAGAAATAGGACCAGTGGGTACAATAATGAGATGAATTTTGAAACTATAAAAAGTTTAAAATAGTTATAAAGACCAGACATAGCAGGCTTGAATCATTTTAATGACACCAGGTTTAAAAAGGCTGTTCACAACAGTATTTTATGTGTGGACCTGTGTTGACCATGCTTATCCCCTTTCTTGGGAATAGATGTTTGAGCATCACTTGTGAGAATTTGGAGTCAACCTACTTCCAGGCAGTATGTAAAAGAGTTAAAAGCAGGGCTCTCAGTCAGACTGAGTCTGACTTCTGCACCATCACTTACTTGGGTGTATTCCTTAACCTTTCTAGGTCTCAGCTTTTAAATCTGTGAAATGGGGCAATCAAACTAATATTACCTTTGAGAGCTGTGATATCTTTAAGGTAGAGTTTGGATTGCCTCATGTCTTCCCCTCTATAATCTCCATCGGTTTGTTTCCCTAGGCTACCCCAATTAATATACAATCTAAGTAAAAAAACATGATCCAGTTAGGTGAATACAGCTTTCAGACAAGTACTTTAGTCATACACTTCTAACCAGATTACTACCATAAACCCTTTCTTTATAAAAAATCATTAGAGCCACCACTGCCTCAGAAAGTTGTTAAGGGGATTAAATGAGATAATTAATGTAAGACTTTTAGCATGTTGCTTAGCACATAGCAAATATTAATGAAATAAAAATTATATACACACATATCCCACTAAGTCATAATGCTTTTATGAACGAGATGACACTTTAAAGATTCTAAGGGTATAATCTGTCAGGTTTTCCTTCCAGTGAGTAGGGGGGGGGGAAATGGCTTGATGATTAAAAGCCTAACACACCGTTGGTGCTCTTGGACTCTGTTTCCTTTCAGATTTTCTGTCCTTGAGGTTCAGTGCATTTTCTCATTCCTTCGTTCATTCAGCAGTCATTTATTGAGCACCTATTGAGTTCCAGGTTCAGTCCTGGGTGCCAGCAGTACTAAGATGGAAAAACAGGGGCTCTGTGCTCAAGTTGCTCTAGCCAGAAAGAGAAGGGAGTTCAGATAATTGCAATAGCATATGATTCAGGTAAAACATAAAGGTGTGTATATTATATTCATGAAGCAAACAAGTCTATCTGAGCCACAGGACATTTCTGTCTGAGCCACAGAAAGTTTCATAAAAGGGGAAAGATCGAAACTGGAGCTTAAAGGGAGGACAAGAGTCTGCTAAATAGAAGTCCTTTAACATAGAACATCTGGAGACACAGGTCAATGTTGTGAAATTTTCCATGACTGTTTATAAAACTGAAATGACAATGAGTTTGGTTTCTCTTTTTCCCAATATCTGGCTATAGTGACAAAAAACCAAACAAGTAATGATTTAAATAAGTTAGAGATATGTTATAGTGTCTAGTGTAGTATCTGGGACACAGGCTTCATCATCCTTGCTCCCCACCCTTACCACGTGGCCTTCATTCTCAGCAGCAAGTAGGCCACTGTACCTTCAGCCACGGCCTTCTCCTTGTGAGGCTTTGTAATTTATCAGGAAAGAAAGTCCTTCCCGCAAATCTTCCATTTATATCTCATTAGACCAAATGGTGTCACACAGCCACCTTGACCTGTAAGAAAGGCTGAAAATTAATCTGTAGAAGTTAAGGAAAAGGAGAGACTGAATGGTATTTGCCAAACTACAGCATCTGCCAGAGCAAGAGATATAACTTTTCCATTAGTGGCAGGTGGTTTGGTCTTATTTTTCATAGTTGTTGCCATTTGTATTCGTTACCCTCGGGCTGCTGTAACAAAGTACCACACACTGGGTTGCTTAAAACAACAGCAATGTATTCTCTCACAGTTCTAGAGGCTAGCAGTCCAAAATCAAGGTGCAGAGCCATGTTCCATCTGACACTTTAAGAGGAATTTTCCCTTGCTTCTTTGTAGCTTCTGCTGGTTTGCAGGCAATCTTTGGCATTCCATGGCTTGTAGCATCACTCCAGGCTCTGCCTTTGTCATCACAGGATGCTCTCCCTGTGTGTCTCTCTGTCTTCACATGGCCAGTCATATTGGATTAGAGGCCCAACCTACTCCAGTGTGACCTCATCTTAACCTATTACATATGCAATGACTCTGTTTCCAGATAAGATCACAGTTTGAGGTATTGGAGGTTTGGACTTCAACATATCTTTTTGTGGGGATGAGGGGAGATACAATTCAATCCATAACATCATTGCTTTGTACTTACTGTGTAAATAAGAAATGCCCTGTTTCCAAGTTATGTTTCTTTATATCTAGGTTTTGTAATGAACTCTTAAAAGGCATATTTTTATTCCTAGTTTGAGAGAAAATTATTTTAATTACAGAACTGTGGCAATATGAAAGATTATTTGATAAATTGTTTTCAAATAACTGATTACAGATTTAGGGAAAAATTTTAAAATCCATATCATACCATATGCCCAAAATATGTACAAATGTGTTAAAGAATTAAGTATTTTATAGAACTGCAGTAAAGAACCTGGTCTTTTTGAATATTTGTATGGTTATAAGAAATAGTAGAGATCATAAAAGAAAAGATCTATAAGTTGAAACTATATAAAAATGTAAAATTTTTGTGCAGAAAAAAACCAGTAGGAAAATAACAGACTGAGAAACATTACAACAAATAATTCAGACAATAAACATAAATAATTTATACAACTATTAAGACCCCATTAGCTAGATGGTCAAAGGATATGGCCAATCTATGAAAACATCATGTTTGCTAACCAAACATAGGGGAAAGTATAATCATTAAAAAGTACAATTTAAACTTCAATGTAACTGATAAATTATTACATTGCTGATGATGACATAAATTGATATAATGCATTTAAAAAGCATTTGGCAAATATGTTCAGAGCTATAAAAATGTTGATTCAATTAATATTTCTGGAAACTTAGCTTAAATAAATATGCTAAAGAAGAAAAATAGCTGTGTTCATGAAGCTATTAATTGCAGAATAGTGAAAACTTGGGAGTAACCTAGTTGTCTGGTAGTAGAGGAATAGTTGACTGAATTATGATGCATCTTTTTGTTGGGATATGCAGCCATCAAAAGGTCTCATAATGAAGACCTGGGGCAATGTGAAGAAATACTTATGGTGATCTAGCACCTCTGGTATTATCCTGGATAGAGCTGGAGCCCATTCTACTAAGTGAAGTGTCACAAGAATAGAAAAACAAGCATCACATGCACTCACCATCAAATTGGTATTAATTGATCAACACTTAAGTGCACATATGGTACTAACATTCATCCGGTGTCCAGTAGGTGGGATGGGGGAGGAGGTGATGGGTATATTCACACCTAACGGGTGCAGAGCACACCAACTGGAGGATAGACATGCTTAAAGCTCTGACTTGGGTGGGGAAAAGGCAATATATGTAAACTAAATGTTTGTACCCCCGTAAGATGCTTAAATAAAAAAAATTTAATAAAATAAAAATTTAAATAATGTCACATTTTTTTAAGTGATATATATAGTTGCAATTGTATAAAATTTTAAAGTATGCTTATGGAAAAGTCAGCAACAATGAGATAGTAGAGTATGTAGAAGGTGCTAGGGAGCCTGGAGTGGTATTAGGTGAGTGATTATGAGTCATTTCCCATCATTTTTCAAACTTTCTTGTAATTTAAAAATATTTAAACATATTCAACTTACTATGGGTTTAAAATCCTTCTGTATTTCTTGCATGTTAATGAAACCATTAGAAGGAAAGGAGAATTTAATGAGCTTTCTGGGGGAAAAAAAGATTTTGCTCACAGTTATATTGTAAATCACACCAGATGTTTTCCTTCATAAATAAATCTTGTACTAAGTAGTGGGATTATTCTAATATGAAAAAATGACATTTGAAGAAAGCTTTTTAATAGTATATGTGCATTATATGATGAATGGTGATGTTTTTGACTGGTGAAGTAATTATTTTAATCTTGTCTCATCATTCACTTTAGTTTTGGTTTTGTGGTTGAGATTTAAAAGCTATATTTTCAAAGAAAATAACTCACCCATAGGCTGGAGAGAAATAATTTTACTTTCACCATGACAAATGATCTCTTCTGACTTTGTAGTTATGACTTAATAGTGTGAATTTAATGCCAGGTGATCAATGCAGTTGATAATATTTTAGCAAACTATTTGCATTCTTATTCAGAAGACTTGCCCCTCCCTTCTCAGAAGCAGAGTTTATAAGAACTGTAAGGACATGATCATTAGTCCTGCTCCTTGCTCCTGGTAAGGCGCCCCTAGCGTGTTCCCTAGGCTTGCTGGACTGCTTACTGTCCCCAAGGGAACGCAGGCGCCGACTCTCTTTGGGGGTGTGAGAAGTAACCGGGGATGACAACCCCTCGGGGCCTCCACTGGTAAGGCTTGATTAGATTATGCCTCTATGGTTGACTAGCCTTTGAATTCACTAGTCTGACTTTACCACCTAAAGATTAGAGGTAGGTGGTAGTGCATCTCACCGCTCCCCTGCTACCCCACACACGCACATGTATGTTCTCGCACACAGGTTTGGTGTGAAACAACCAACTTACATCCTTTAAGAGAAAAAGAGTCTGGTGGGGTGAGTGTGATGATGGAAAGGAGTAAATCCAAGTTTCCAAAGTAGAGACTAGACAATGGGGATGCGTGCAAACAGTGCTGGACAACTGACATCTACTGACTCCCCAGTGAAACGCCGCCTGCGCTCAGTTATTTAGGGACCAATCATCCAGAGTGTGGATTATCCAGGCCATATGCTTCTCCTCCTTTGCCATCTGGCTGGTTGCCTGCTTCCCTTCCTATGAACATAGAAAATACTCAAAATACCTTAGTCCATTTCTGCCAAACCTTTTCTATTACCTCTATCAAACCTCCCTTTAAGCTTATTCAGTGCACATCCTGATCAAATCTGGTCACTTGGCATATTCTGATTCCTCGCAGGGCACATTGGTTAGTTTCTAATGTACAGTCTTGTGCTCCTTGATCCTTGCTTCTTAAGAGTCCTTTAGTATCTCTCGTATTTACTATTTATCACTTGAACTAGCTAGTGAGCTCCTTTACAGCAAAGGATATCTCCTCTGCCTTTAATATCCTCTTCAAATGTCCCGGAGAGCTCCTCTTCACAAGGTGGGTGTGGGACAAGTATTGTTGGCTAAGTGCTATTCATTGTCGTTTCAACCAGATAAGGCATGAGAAAGTCATAACAGTAAGGAACAGTAAGCTGAAATACCATTTGCTATAAAAATAAAACTAGAGAATCCCAGACTTTTAGACTCAGAAGGAGCATTTAGAGATAATTGTATCTTCTTGATAGAGAACCTTGGGCTCAGAGTAGTGAAGGGCTCAGAGTAGTGAAGTAACTTGTCTTTGGTCACTCACCCACAGCATTTGTGGTGGAGCCAGGACTAGAATTCATATCTCTAGAGCCCATTTCTCTTATACTCCAGACTTCCAAGGATTATATAGAAGTGGAGTTATGCAGAAAATATGCAGAAAAGGGGTGACTTAGGATAGTTTTCTAGGAGGAGGATTCTATATTAGTGACAGATTACAAAGATCAAAGAAAAATTTTATCTCCCTTTTGAATAAATTAATCTTTGGGGGTTATCTATATTATAGCAATTATTTGGAGTTATTTTTATTCATTTTTAAAGAGTGATCTAAAACAAAAGTTGAAAAGATCTCATCAAGTACCTACAACAAAACTGACACATAGTAGGCATCAATCAATATTTGTTGAGTGAAAGAATGAAACCCAAACTCTCATTTTCTAAGGACTAGGAGTATTGTCTAGTTCCAGTATAATCAAACCCATTTATAAAAAGTTTTATAGTCTTTCTTTGAATCAAAAGTTTCTTAGCCATGTATTTTAATTGACTCTGGGCAAATAGTTCAGCCACAAATTACAGTAAACTTACTAAGTACCTGTTTGTGATGTCATAAATTACCAGAGACAGCTAGTGCCCTGGCACTTACAAATGAAATGTCCCTTGAACACTTTATGATTTTATCCTGAGCACTTCAGATATGATTAATATAAATTTCCAAGGTAAATCTCAAACATCAGATAACATTCCAGTTGTGTGTGTGGGGGGGGGGGCAAAAAAACGGATGTAATTATACATAGAATTTAGGTTTAGAATTATATAATTAATGAACCTTTACATGAAGGCAAAATTGAGTTATATTGCCTTCTTTAAAAGATTTTTACATTACTTGAATAATACATATTCATTGTATAAATATTAGAAAATACAGGTAATCATAAAGAAGAATAAACCTACTATTAACCCTAGGAGCCAAAGAGTATCTATTAACAATTATTTACATATCCTTCTGGATCTTTTTTCTATGCATATTCACCTGGCCATACACTATAAACTGTTTTAAAACTTGACCTTTTCCATATCTAGTATTTCTTAATATCAATAAATATTTCTAAGAACCATTCTTAATGGTTTCACAGTATCCCATTATGTATATGTACCATAATTTGTTTAACTAACTGCTTGTTTTTGAATATGTAGGTTATTTCTCATTTTTCGCTATTATAAATGATGCTATGGTTAACTTCCTTATTTATCTATCTTGACTTACATGGCCAATGATAGTGTTAGAATGAATTCTGAGTACAATTGCTGGATTTAAAATAGAGTCAGTTTTCAGGGTGGAAAATACGAATTTTTAAGTGTCAACAGATTACTTTCATACAGACTTTGAAAAGCTGGCTTTTGGAGACTTAGTACTTACTTTGGGTTCTTCATGGCAATGATAAACATATTTTTTCTTATGCATTAATACAATTGTATTTGACAAATGGTAAGCCCCCAAATACATTATTTTAGATGATTTTCAAATATGTTAATGCTTTAATAATAAATTGTGCTGATCGGTTTCCTCCTTATTTTTAGAGCCTGGATGCTTTGTTTGGCTGGTTGACATGAAGCAGTTTCTTGCTGGAGGCAAAATGTCACTGGACCATGCACTAATCTCTCTCCCCCACTCCCCCTACATTTACCCATTTCTAGGCTGATTATATAAATAATGTGTTGTCTTTTTAATTAAGTGAAAGTTACTCATTATAGGTGCTTTTTAACTATCTGAACTTATCTCCTAAATAGGTCTTGCATTATCTGTACCCAAATGAGAATATGATTATTCAGGCAAGGCCACTCTAGAAGAGTGTTTAAAGCAAGGAGCTGAGAGTCTTCTCCAGCTCTGCATGCCATAGTATGTAAGAGCAGCACTATCCAATTAGGAGCAGAGGAGACAGGGGAGGCGGGGAGAGAGGCCATGCTTACCCAGCTTGTTCAACTTGATGACATTACGGTTTTCATGATAAAGTCTGCAATAACCTTTATCTTTTTATATTTAATTTAATGGCCTTGAAATCTGGAGAAGCCAGCAGGACCTCATTTATCATGTAGCAAATATCAGCCTCTTCTGGTACAATATTTTGTGCTAACTAAAAGAGACATGAAATTAAAAATAGGTCAGGAGGCTTTCCATTCCAGTTCTGTTGATTTAAGTGGGGCAATGGGGAGGGCAGGCAAAACATTGGTTTCTTTTAAGTGATATTATGGAGAAAATAATCTATTAATGAACAAAAAGAGATGAGAGCATTATGAGAAGACTAAAGATTATGTTTTGTGAAATGAGTTCTTTCTAAAGCATCAAAGAAGTATAATGACCAAAACTATTTCAAGTTCTCTACAAGTGGTTTTTGCTTGAAGAAAGTCAGAATGTTATTTATTTCAAATATTTTCATTTGTCTTTATGTAAGGATATAACAGAGGAGGTAAATGTGTGTTTTACTAAATAACTCATTTATCCATAAGACAATAAATCTAAGTCCTCCAGGAAATTTTTCTCAAAAAGAATTATTTTTTTCTAAAAAAAAAAACTAAACAAAAATAATAGTGCTTTTAAAAATATGTTTGGGAAGACCATGGCTTATCAATAGAGTGGATAATGAATCAGAGACATTATAGCTTTTTTCAAAAGGAATTTTTTTTTTCTGAAAAAAAAAAAAAAAAAGAAGCTAAACAGAAGTAATAGCTCCTTTGGGTCTCCAGAAGGTCTGTTCTTAATTTTAAGTGGATAATAAATGTATATTCTGAGACATTATAGCCCATGGCTACACATGGGTGAATAAGTGTTGAAATTCTGGGTGAGTTATTTTCTCCCATCTCCATGCCACTGTGACAAGACAGGTGCTCTAAGTTTAACTGAGCACTGTGAAACCCATTATGCCCTCTAATTATAACACTAATGGCCTCCAGAAAAGGTCCTTTTTTTTTTCTTGCCACTAACAAACCCTGCATCATTACCCTCAAAATAAGAAAAAAAAATTGTGACAAGAATCAGAGTGGGCAGAGATGACCTTCTCACACAAAACATTCCTCTTAAATGATACCCCATACTTAAACTTATACTCAAACACACTTAAACTTACATTCAAACAATGTGATAGCTTTCAAATGCACTGGATAAATACTTTTCTGTCACAGCAAGCAGGAAGGTAAGCATCCTCTTATATACCTACCAGTGCCACAAGTGCTCTCGAGAACCATCCAAAATCGTTTGGCTAGTTCTTGTCGGAAAGAACCACAAAACTAAAATGATTGATTTTTGACAGACATTCAGACATTTAGATGGGTAATGTTAATGGGTTTAGCAGTTTAACTCTTTCAGGAATCTTTCGGATATCTGAGGATACAGACAATTGCTAATTTGTTCTAATGCATTGATCAGGGTGTTGCCCTAACTTGAAATCCAGGTTGTGTGAGAGCCATGTGAAGGCCGCCCTATGGTAGAGGTCAGGATCTCTCAGTATGGAGTTTTAAAAGAAGATTCAGACATCTTCTACATTTCGAGGCTTCTACTATGTTAAAGAATTAAAGGTTGGCAAAATTTAACTTATTTTGCATGTTTATATATAGCAAATCAGTGATTTAAACATGCACACACAAAAATGCAATGGCTGTATGTCTAAACTAATTCATTTGGACAGATCTTTAAAAGTCTTAAAATTGAGGCTTCTCATTAACATCATGAATCTGAAGTCCAGACCAAAATGACTCTTCCACTCTCCCATAACAGGACCTAGCAGATCAGAAATTTTATTACTTGTGCCATCAAGATATTTCTGGCTATGCTTATACCTTCCATGCTTTATGGTGCATAAGTTTGGAATTAGACTAAGTTTTTATACTCATGAAAAGATGAACGTGGAGCTTTTTCTGGACAAGTCATGTCCCTGACTCGTGGTCTCTGAAGGTGGGTCACCACTTCATTAAAACAGGAAAGCAAGGCGATTCCGTTGCTCAAAATATATCTTTTCTAGCTACATGCTTACTATTTTGTAGATTTTTAGGACAAAAAATCTTATTTCAGTAACAGAATAACTGACAGTCATGGATTCTCAAGCATTTATGTTAAACAAAGAAAGAAAATGGATTTGTACTTTTTAGAGTTGGAGTCCAAAATTATATGGCATACTCAACATTTCTTTAAGATCTTAGGTTTTAGTTGTAAAATTCCCATAAATGTTGCATTCTTCTGTTTTTATATAAAATAATAGTATCCTTCACCTCAAATTATTTTTCATATGGCTTTACTTTTCTGAATTTTCCAGAAATATATTTGTTTTTAAATCAAAGGAAAGTGTATTTTGTTTTGTTCAGAAGTTTTCTGTTGTAGAAAATCATGTCAATTCACAGCAAAGCCAGTTGTGGTAATTGAGCCTCCAGTATAAGACACCTGTATCATTCTGTAATTGTCATCACTATATTCGGTGATGCTACATATAGAAGCAAGCATCTGACTGGTTCCATGTGTCTTCTAGTGCTGTCCTGCCCAAGAATGTACATATTAAGATAAATATTATTTGTTACGAATTAATTTCCTGTTTTAATGTCCTATTTATGGCATTAAAAATCTTTATAGATAGGTGATATTACTTATGGATTTTATTTCAAGACAGCAAAGGAAAATACAAGATAGTTATTATAAAAGGGGGACATTGAGTATGCTAGAGTGACTAATGGCTGCCCTACACAGTGGCCTAGTTGGCTGCATAGCAGAGCTGCCTCTTTGCACAGTTGCATGCTGACTCTGAAGAATTTCTTTACAAAAATGTGATTGAATGTGAAGACCTTGACAGAATTAGCAAAGTGGTTGAGATGCATACTTTGGAGTCAGACAGACTTTAATTCACATCTTGGCTTTGATACTTACAGCTATATGACCTTGGGCAATCTATTTACCCTCTGGTAGACTCTGTTTCCTCAGTTATAAAATAGGTAACTTGTGAAACTCCTTCTACAAGGTTACTTTTGCTTTTATTCTCATCATTCTTAATGAAAACTGTGTCATGGCAGATTGTCTTCAGAGTTCAGATCTCCAAGAAAGATTGCACTTTCTCAAACCTAGTCTATTTCCTTCTAGACAGTGGGAGCCATTTCATTCATGCCATTTTACTTTTTGCTTTGACTGTTAGCAAACATGGAGCTAAGCCCTCATGCTTAATTGCTGTGGCTTTCTTTAAATAGGGCTCTATAATGTAGTTTGCCCCCCACTCCATTCCTCCTCCATTTCCCCCTTACTACTAAATTTTGCTCTTTTATCTTGTATTGTTAGTTGTTGATCTTAGTGATCCTAGGCTCTTATTGTGAAATCATAACTTTTTTTCTCAAAACGATTGTCTCAGATTGTTTTGAAAGTAGGTGGAAGATAAGTAAAATAAGAAAGAAATAATAAGGTTCCATTTGTTTTATGGCACTTTATAGTATTTATTTCTATAATTTATTTCCTTAATTTATATTGTCTATTCATGGTAGTATTAGATCTTTATTGTATCACTTACTTAGGAAAATATGACAATAATACTAAGATGATATTTTACCCCCAATACTTATATATATAATTGGTTCAATGTAAATTATTTATTTCTATTTTCTTAGCAAAAATCTGAAGAACATCACACATTGCTGTATCTTACCATATTATTATGTAACAGTGGTTTTCAAGATGTTTGTTCTCAGGACCCCTTTACACTTTTAAAAATTGAGGACCCAAAGATCTTTTGTTTATATGAGTTATATCAATATTTATATTAGAAATTAAAACTGAGAATTTTTAAAATATTTACTTACAAACTCATTAAAAATAACATTATTAACCCCATATGTTAACATAAGTAATATTTTTATTAAAGTTGTTCCAAAACAATAACAAAACATTTTAGTGAGATGAGTGGCATTGTTTTTATAAATCTTTTTATTGTCTATCTTAATGGAAGACAGCTGGACTCTCATATCTGCGCTGGCATTAAATCTGTTGCCACATCATACATCATGTAGCCTCATGAGAGAATAAGACTGAAAAGGGCAAATAAGTATTATTATTATTATTATTATTATTATTATTATTATAGCCTGGACCTTATGGAGCTCCTGACAGTGTCATGGAGTTGCTCCAGGGCCCTGGACTACACTTTGGGACCTACTGCTATAGAGTATAGCCAATGCAAATAGCAACATAAGAAATGGAAATAATATTTTGCACACATTTCAATTTTTAGTAGTTTTAATGAGCTACTAGGTTTTTAAAAAATGTGCCTCTTAACCCTTCTCCCAAAGCTTATAGAAACATTAAGATCAAACTGTAGTTGACAGGAATGTTTAGATCTTTCCTTGAAGATCTGGCCAATTTATTTTGAAAACTAGCAATATATGGAATCAATGTTATGTTTTTGGTGACAGGATTTTTAAAAAAATGTGTATTGAACAGAGATGATCCTTTAGTTTGGCATATAGGAAGACTTGGCTTTTTTACCCTTCTAATCTATAACAGTAAAGTTAGTTTTATTAAACCATTATTTTTATTTGTGTGTGTTGCTTGTTATATCATCTTTATACCATTCAATAACAAGAGTAGAGCAAATTGATTTCTCTTATTCCTGCCGTGAGGTGGTTCATAATGAAAGGTAGATAGCTTGCCTAATTTACAGAGTGGCATTAGGTTGAAATTGAGTTAGCACAGAGGAATAACACATTTCATTTTACTCTATATTTCTTTATTTAGGTAATAGCAATAATGGTTGTGAGCATTGCCATTGATAATGCCATAAGGATACTCAAAGGATACCAGTCTGCTCTCAGTGTGATGGAATGTCCATTATATTAATAGTATGATTTTGCTAGTTTTCCAGTTTACTTGGGTTTTCTGTTGTTCTTTCCATGAAAGAATAATCTTTAACTTTCAAGCTTTCAGTAGGAGAGACTGGAGGCTGCCAATGTATAAACTGCCAAACAGTGGCATTTGAGTTAGGTTTAGGATTATTTTGAAGTGGCAGAGTTTTTTACTTATGAGACACATCCCAAATCTCTTTTTGTTTTCAGATAAGCGGTACTAAAATAAACATGGCCAAGAAGTGCCAACTGCTACCTCCAAAGTGAGCAGTGCTCCTAGTTGGGGGCTGTGAATCACCTTCATATCCTATCAGCATACTTTCATAGCAGATCAGATTATGCCAGCATGTAAAAAATAGCTTGTCTATGTATGCATGTATGTATGTGTCTATCACTGTATGTATCACCTTGTACTTTCCCAAGGATTTTCAGAAATTAAATCAAGTCATACAGGCTTTCAAGGTTAGAAAGGATTTCAAAGACGATCTGCTCCAACCCACACTGCAGCCTTGTTGAAGTTTTTCACAATACCTTAAATGAGTTGTTGTTCCAGCTTTGCTTGAATCCTTCCACTAAAAGAAACCTCATGATTCCTCAAGCAAATGCTTGTGATTTTGGAGAGCTCCAATTATTGGGAAAGCTTTTTTCCAATTTGACCTGAGAAAAACAGATGCTGTTTTCCACACTACAGCACTTCAAGCGTCTGAAGACAGCACTCATGCCTCACTCTTGTATCAGGATCAGCCTTCTCATCTCCAGACTCTACTGTCTATCTGAAAATTTTCCCAGTCCCTTTTCTACCCTTGTTCTTTCTCCTGTTTTCCTGCTCCAGTTTTCAGTGTTCAT